GATTTAAAACCAGTTAAGAGTTTCTGATAATGTAATTAACAATCACGCAGTTTATACAAGGAATAAACAAACAGAAGATTTAGGCTCTAACTAGTGACCACTAAATCCATATATATGTGCTAATCATGTGATGATAAATTTTTTTAACTCATTTAAGTAATAAAGAAAATGCTTTGGAGTTTCAATGTAAAGAATATTAATTATAAGCTGAATCAATGAGATAGCGAAGAGTTTAAGATAGTATAAGCTTTTAATTATGATGAGAGAGATAAACAGAGAGTGAAAGAAGTTATTAACCTCGGAGATTGGAGAAAATTTGAGTGGACCGTTGACATCAATGGCCAAGCTTCTGGTGTTATCTTGGGAGGAGCATAGGGGAAGAAGATAAACAAGAAGGAGAGACGAAGAGGTGATGATGAGTCTCCATGATTTCATGTGGTTTGAAACTGAAAAAACAAACATATACTTAGTTTAGAATTGAAGATAATTAAGTCATGAGTTTTTCATAAATATATGGTTTTATATATGTAAAGAAGAATGAAGGTATGGAGTTTGATCCATTAGTTTCCTAGCCATAGCCTATATAGAAGAAGTGAAAAGAAAAGTGTGGTTTTACATTTTGCTTTTAGAGTGTAAAGAAATGTGATAATTAAATATTATATCAAGTGCGCAACTTTGTAATATAATATGGTTTTTTTTTTTTTTGACAAGAATATAATATGGGTTTGCATGGAGGTCGATGGTTTTTTTTTTTAATGTAAATGGAGTTAAGCAAGTGGAGGAATGGGCAAACATCTTTAAGTTAGTTATGGTTAAGCACTCTGTTGATTTGATATAAAGCCATAAGAAAAACTGTTATAATCTTTAAGAAAAACTAGACTTAAGATCGAATATATAGATTCTTAATAGAGATGGTGTGAAATGGAATAGATGCAGAAATAATATCAAAATTTTTGAAAAACTAATATTATTATATATATCCGTTCGATCTCACACCGTCTCCAATAAAATTATATATTTATGCATTCTTAATTAGATCTTAAGGTAATAAAATGAGGAATCGAAATTTCTAGGTTTGTTTAAAAAAGTCAAGTGGGTCATTGAAATAAATTAAAAACTGAAAACTCCTTAGCTCAGATTCATCCAAAAGTATAATTTTATTGGACTTTTGTTTTGTGGAAGAATGTCAGATTTTTCTGTAAGGAAAAGTGAGTCATGGCAGGTTGCACTCAAAGTCCACTACTTGCGTTACTGTCAACAAACACCATGATTTCACTATGGATGGTATGCATATAATGACCACATGATGTTTGAAATACTAAGAGCATAAGAAAAAAAATTAGATAAATGATCATAAACGTAATATTAAGTTTTATCTTATTTATAAAGCCAAAAAAACAAATCAAATATCAAATATTTAAATCAATAGCTAGTTTACTGGACCAATCAGTTTCATTTAGGGAAATGAAAGAATGGTTGATGAAAATGCCACAGAAGTGAGAAACAAATGAAAGAATTGATACAAAAGGAATATTTTGCACAATTAAAGATAGAGGACCACTTCATATTTTGCAGCTTTCTCCTTCAATCTCAAAGTGTAGCTTGTCTTGGTTTACATGTCTACTATTCTTTTGTTTTGATGCTTTTAATCTTCTGCATCTCAACTATCCCCGAATCAAGTTCACTTATGCATGTCGCTCTCCTGCAATTATCAATGGCTAGTCACAATTAACCCATTTTTCATTTACTATCATTTGGGGTTCCGGTGCTAATCTCCTTTATCCTCTTATTCGTCTTCCCGGTCTTGGTTGAAGGCTTCGAGTGGTTGATTTATAGGTGTTTGGGTCTGATCTATGCTAGTTGGTGTTGGTGGCTATTAATGCTTTACCCTCTAGTCTTGCTCGGTTTTGTGTCATGTCTTCTAGGTCATCCCTTCTACATAATTCCTTTTTGGGTCTTTCCGTTTGTGATGGGTTTTGGCTGTCTCTGTGCATGCTAGATTGCTTCTGAGACATCTCTCTGGGTTGTAGCAGGG